AGTAGGCCATTGTTGAGTATTTAATGAAGCCTGGTTTTTAACTGATAAATAAAAGGTATGTTTCACAGATCTAAACTTGAAAACCATAATCAAAAAGAAATCGACTGAGAAAGTCACATACGTATGTGTTTGTCCAACTATCTTTACTGAACTCTTTCCAAAGAGGCTCACATAATGCTACACTAACAACATCACTCTGTTTCTGCCCCTGCTTCTCAGCAACAACTGTCGTTATTTGCAGAGCTGCCAGATATTTGAACAACAAAGTCTTGTTTTTTCTGCAAGGACGTCTTTACAAACCTACTGACAGAGTTTAATCATCATCGGCAATACCATGTTGGTGAGTCCAGGCACATTGAATGGGAAAAATTCAACATTGACAAAAGTGCTGCTCAGAGCACACACCATGCACTCGCTGACAAACCTCCAAAGCAGCATTTTGCTGTAATGAGTATAAGTGAGGGAGAGCTAAAATGAAGGAGTGTTAAATGGAGTGAAAATATCCAACCATCTGCCAGCAGGCATGAAAAGATCCCTTATCTTTCCACTGCTCCTTTACAGTGTTGTCCTTAATGGCCTGAATCAAGAGAGCAGCACTGTGGCACTGGCCACATACGACTATAAAGCTCCAGATATGGGCAGAGTTGTCATTGGTTTGTGTTTTAATGAGCAGCTGTGTAGTTGTACTGCAGGGCCTCTGTGTGTAAATATAGCACAACTGAAACACGACTGCACAGACCACAGAACAACACACGCTGAGTGTCTTTGTTGTCTCCCATATGTTTCTTCTTGGCATTTACTGAAGCTACTAAATCTAGATTCAAGCAAAGCAAACAGCTAAATGATTGGATGAGAGGCCTGTCAATCACACAAACACACACCACGACAAGGTTCTCTTTAACCTTCGGTATGTTTACATTCACAATAATATCCCACTGTTTAATAGATTATCTTAATACTCATCTCCTATGCAAGACACAACTGTGAAAAGTATTAAAAGGGTTGTTTCACATGCATTCGTTTTTATTTCACACACTTGTATTTGAAGTCCCTTTAACACACAGCACATGCATGTTCACACACAAACCCCAACCAATCGAGGCAGATGGCCGCCCACACTGAGTCTGGTTCTGCTCTGAATTTTTTATCTCCACAGTCACTAAAGTGCTTCTCATTGTGGGAACTGTTGGGTTTCTCTATAATTTCTCTGTATACTGCCTTGAGATAATGCATATTGTGATTTGGCGCTACACAAACAAAATTGAATTGAATAGTTTCACTGCAGATTTATCCTAATCATTTAAACTACCAAAGAAAAATCCTTTTTGCAGGAAAAAAAATCGAGGAGTCACATGTGAAGGATCCCTCTCCCAGGACAGAAGTGCAGTAGCTGTCGTTAACAGAGCACGGCAACAAAATAATAATCTTTAAAACATTCATGAGAAATATGGAGCTGTGAAACAATGTTTATACAAAAATAAATGTTACATAAAGAAACGTCTGATAAGAAGGGAGCAGTACGGACAATTGTAAATCATTGCGATGTTGCCAGGTCACTGCAGCAATCCTGGATCTACAACAAATTCAACACTTGTCAATGTTATTTGTCTGATTATGAACTTAACTCTTTGTACATCACCGTCTACCAGACCATATTGTTATCTGTCCTTCATATTGACAGGACACTGATGACTGAGTTGCTAATGTGATTGTTAAAGTTGAAGCTCTAACAACTGTTATTTGATCTGTAGACATGTTTTGTGTGTGTCAGTGTCTCATCGATCTACAGAGATGTCACTGACACGTGGCCCTCCGGCTATAATCTAATCAGAAGAACACATCAGTAATAATCTGGATGAGGTCATACTCGCTTGTGTTCAAGTAGAGCAGCGCTGCTGACAAACTGCAGCCGAGTTCAAGAGTGACAAAAAAGTTAATGGTGCTGAACGAGACAGTTTCAAATAGATCTGACTCTGGCTCATCAAACACACACACACCTCTCTGGTTCTTGACCAATGGATATTTCAGCAGTGAGAGTTAATTTGATCTAGCAGAAAGGCAGCAGTGATTTTATTTCACTCATAACTGAAGAGAGCTGAACGACTGTGCTATTTCATAGTCACTCATAAAACACACAAATGAAACGTGTTGGGAGTATAAATACAACGTATAAATCACATTTCACAATGAAATCATCACGACATCATTTATCTGAGTCCATATGATGACGAACGACTGTTTGATCTTAATAATCTGTACATCCTGTCAGTAATCGCACCGATTGCAAAAATTGCTGCATTACTATATGATGTCATCCTCTCACATCACAGTGAAGTTTAATGACATCATTCCCACCAAAAAGAATCATAAATTATTTTTTTAAAGGTTGCTGCTATTTTCCTTTAGGACAACTGAAAATAAATATTTTAACTATGCATGATGTACAATTTCTGTATTATACCTCCATCACCACAATTGTCATTACTGCTCCCTTCATCGCTGTCAGACTTTAAGTTTTGTATAAAAACATTGATGCACTTCTCCATTTATGTTAGACACTGTCAAACCTCTGTCTGTGCTGGGAGAGGGGTCCCTCACAGGTTTGGTAAAAATGTTAAAATGTGTATCAGTACTTCTATCCGTTGACCATGTGATAACTTTTACTTTATCTTTTACAATACAATTACATTCCAGTTAGATTCCGTTGGCAATCCCGACAATTCAATTCACACTTTGAGACGAGAGGAAGTGCCACACTCATCGTGATGAATTAACACATCCACTGTATTAATGCTGAGTGGTGTCAGCATTACATGACTGCACACAAACAGAGCTGTACAAACCCTTTAATCAGATTAGAAGTCACAACTCACATTTCACCAAAGAGTGACAAAGTCAGCAGGGCCCAGCAGCACCTCTGCTGCTCAGAATAATCCTAAATTATTCATGTGCATCTCAATGAGGCTGCTGTCAGCAGGAAAAACACAGATTACTTATGTAAATCCTCAGTGGCAAAAGGTACGAGCTGTTACTGAACAGATGAAGTCTGAACTGTCACTTTCCTGCATGACAGAACATACTAACACCCTCCACACCATCACGTGGCCTCATTCGCTCTGTCGCTGTTTCTTTATACCTGCTCATTTATGCCTCCTACACGAGAGGCTGATCCCTCATCACAAGAGAGAGTGAACGATTAGTTACGCTAACACCATCTTACTAAGTTCATGACTCGCTTAATGTCAGCTACAGAGCTAAAGTTATTATCAGGATGACAGGGTTTTGTAAATAATAGAAAAATGTGCCTTTAGAGTTGTGGATAAACATTGAGAAAAGGGATCTGAAAATATCTCAGTGACGTTTAGCTTTGGTTTAAATATTACGTCACTCAACTGTAAACAACAAACAAGTTTTGTCCTTATTTAGTCAGACTTTGATGATTGCCATATGATCTGTGCTATAATGCTCTGAGCTGTTTTCCAGACCTGTGCACTTCCACTTCCTGGAACAGAACAATTAGTCGCACTTTTCTAAAACCTGAATTCTAAATGGGCAGTGAGGCAATTGCACCCCCCCCAAGAAGAATACAATGGATGGAATTATGTCTAAGGCCACAAGTAATAATAATAAGTGTGCAGGAATCAGCTTTGACTCCTGCAGCAGATAATTCTGTTCCTCATATATCTGAGTCTCAGGCTACATCCACATTAACAGATTACATTTTTTGGAACACATCACTTCTGCTGTGTTTACACCTGCTGTCCACACTACTCCAGACCAGTCCAGCCCCAAAAGCATATTCTTTTGGAAACACTACAGGTCTCGTTTGATTTTTTTAAAACTCTGGCTGCAAATTACTCTCAACATTTTCACATGTAAAGATACACCAGATTTTATTACCTTATTGACTATTAAAACAACAATTCAAAGAGAGGGAAGGCACCAGACATCTGGAAATCTAAAATGACTGTGACGGGTCCCCTGCTATGTGACTGTTCATATAAGCTGTGAGCATGTCTACAGTTAAAGCTGAAACCAACTCACAGACTTAATGTGAAGACAAAACACAGTGTTTTACATAAAAAAAAATCAGAAAAAAGTTTTAATGAAACAAAAAGAGAAGTCTTTCATTTTGCGACCCATCAGACGACCATCACACCATCAGACAGACCCACTGCTTCAAGGTCAAACTACTGCCTGTTTCTATTTATGCTTTAATCACAGGAGAAAACTCTTTTTATATTTAGGGGCTTGTTATTAGACAATGTTTAATAATAGATAATATTTTTTATCGTGCGGTTATCGTACTAAATTTCTTGAGAGCAGCATGAGAAAGTGTACTGTACCTTCACATTGTCTGGATGGAGACCCCCAGGGTGTTTGTCCATGTACTGACACAGGTCTGTGTGCTGTGAGACAAAAACAAAACAACTAAATGTTAATACAGTAACATGGAAAAGTTTTAAAACTTGTGAGAAGCTATTCAGCACATTCATACAGCGGCTACTTTCCCTGGCATCAGGCTCAGAGTACATGAACACATGACACACGGTCTGATGTCCCTCTGTCAGGAAGTAGTGAAAGGAGAACAGTTTGTCAGAGGCTTCCTTTGTTTATACAACAACACCACCCTAATTGTGACATCAGAGGATAATAGCCACTGTGTGAATATGATGAATAGATATATATGTTCTGTATTTATATAGAGCTTTAGTCTTGATGACCACTCACATTACAGTTTTCCCCATTCACCTATTAACACACACGTTCATGCAATGCATCTGTGTGCAGTGCTTTTCTCGATCACACATCAATCACACACTGACGGCACAGCCGCCTGGGACAATTTGGAGTTCAGTATCTTGCCCAAGGACATTTTGCCATGCGGAAAGCAGAAGACTGGGGTCTAACCGCTGACCTGAGAGGACGACCTGGTCTACCTCCTGAACCAGTCACACGAGCCAACATTAATCTTGATGTCATGGTGGTTGGGTGTCATTTCTAGTAACTGTGAGGCAGAGATGGTCCTCAATGTTGAAATTCCAAATACAAAAATCTGTTGCTCTTATAGGTGCTCTTATATCTGTGATTTGCTTGATAGCTGAGATAATCTCTCCGAAAACCTCCATCCACAGACATGCATGCCGTCTTACTCGTCCACCCCTCATCCCAGTGTATTGTTAACGGATTAGTATTCTCCACTGAACAAGTCACACAGATGCTTCAGCGTGAATGTACAGTACCTGTCAGTCTTACTCAAAACCTGTTTTGTATCTGTTTTCATTTCTCTAAGATATATTTCATTGTCTTTTTCCCTTTTGTGTCTTTATCCTCTTCCTCATATATTTCACCCTCTTCCTGTCAGTCATTATTAGCCTTGAGAGGAGAACAGTAGACTGATATTTCCACGGTGAAAAGCCCTTTATATGTAAAACAGCACAGGATGGTATATCAACATGAAACCAGCAGTTCAACGCATTTGTGTGATGGAAATTCCAAAGACAGTCTTTTTGGGATTCATTAGCACATGTATAACTGGGTAACTACAATCATCAAATCATTCCACTCCAGTCCACCAGGGGGTGGTAAAGCAGAAGACCATACAACAATGATGATGGTACATAAAATCAAGATACTCTACAATAGCAAACATTGACTATTCAAAATGCAAGACTGAAACTAAGGAATCCGTTTTTATGAGCTACGGCAGAGATTGGCTGAAATAAAACACTTGAGTACTCAACCAATCAGGAATCTTCACATGAGGGGTCGTACTTTCATTTTTTTGGGGTTAAAAATACAGAACTTACTGTTTTATAAGGGTTGTCGTCTATATGAGTCTTCTCTTCAACCACATTTGCACATTTACGAATGTAATAAGACAAATAGCCACCAGGATCAATTCATTAGTGAAAAATAAATTCCATTCAAAGGATTATTTAGTCAAATACATGAAAGGAGGCTTTCACAAGTGACCTTGTGTAAACCAAACTGATCGCTGCTCTCGTTCTTCATTTAAACATGACACACTGAGCTCCACGTGAGTCTCAGCAGATCTCCTTTCAAAGCTGAACCTTTGACATGTGTTCTATCTGCCAACAAAGGGCATCACACTATCTCATTAAATGCATGGAAAGCTGAGTCAGCTAGTTCTTGTTGCTCAGCATTTCAGGATCAGACACTGACCTGAATATGAATGTGACCATCAGAGGTTGTTTTCAATTTTCACAGATGCAAGGAGACAACAGGGCTTGAACCTCTGGATTTTGAAGTCTAAAACATGTTTTCTTTCTCAGGTCTGGGGTGAAGCGTAATTTCTGAATTGTACCGTTTTTTGCAGCTTCAATTTGGTAAAAACAGAATTATAGCTGAGATTTATTGTGCAGGTTGAACTCATTACTTTTTTGGAGAAGCTCTTTCTAACTTAACTCGCTCCTTGTTCTTCTTTGGTCTGTTCAGGGTCCACATCCTGCTGCAAACATGTGTCCCTGGTCAGGCTCTATTCATTGCAGGTGTTAAACTTCAGAGAAGGCAAAAAAATCTTGACAACTCCCATAATTTTTCACTATCACTGATCCATTGTTGTAATGTTCTATCTCCTGCATATCTCTTTACCTACAGTGTTCTGTTCCTCTCATAATTCTCAAACTCAATTAAATAAGACTATTTCCAGTGTTTTGTCTTTCTTCAAGAGTTTGGCCTCGTTTCCAATCCTGAGAATTGGGTTAGAAACTGCTTCTCGTCCTCTGAGACCAGTGCAAGTCTTATTTTGTGTATACTTTTGCTGACTGGAGCGTTGAATTGTTAATTTAGCAGATTCTGTATCTGTGATGAAGTTGCTTTTCAGACTCTCAGAGAGCTGAGCTTGGTGTATTGATCTTGTGATGGTGTGGTCACTTCTGGTCTGCCTGATTGTGCTTCTGATAAAACCGATCCAGTTTCTGCAAAGTGTTTTACACGTCCATCCACTGCCCCTTTAGAAACCATTACTGTAGCTTCACGCTTTGAAGTTTCAATGATGCCATTTTCCCACTATTGCTATCATAGAGCTGCCTAATAAGTGCTGATCTCATAGCCTTATTTATTAATGCTGCTCCAATTTTTCGGACTGATCACTGGAAGCAGTATCGGTTGATATTGATCACTGATTTTATTTTCAAAAATCAAATCTACTTTAATAAACCCTGAGCATAAATTGGGTGACATTAACAGCTTTTCTAGAATAGAAGTAATACATGTATGAATCAGTATTGTTTAATTAAATATTAAATATTTATTTTTCAAATTTGATGCATATGTTTCTGCATACCACACAATATATCATACTACAGTTTCATTCTCCTGAAACATTGAATTTTTAATAAAAATGGCCCCCTGCATTCCTGTTCTGTGCACAGACACACAAGCCATTGGTCTGGTACCGAGCAAAGAGTGGAAAAAGCAAACTGCTTTAACATTCTTCAAGTATCCTGTAAACAAGAGAATGCCGCAGCTCACATTTATGTGGGTCAAATATTGAAAACCAAAACTAAATCAGTGAGTAGACAAATAAATCAAACTAAACACACAGTCATCAGTTTTCCTTTTAAAACTTACTTTTTCCTCTAAACAAATATGAAAAACAGATTCTCAACCTGACTTGAACCCTCTGCAGTCCACACACACATGGCCCAAATGGGAAATGTCAGTGTGGCAGATTGCAAACTCACCACATACTCAAAGACCAGAGTCAGGGTTTCCTTGGTGTGGATGATGTCATGGAGGAGCACGATGTTTGAATGCTTCAGGCCTTTTAGAAGAGACGCTGTGGACACAGAACGGAGAGAGACAGAGAGTTCGTGTGAAGCACATTTCCAGATACCGGAGAACCAACTATGATCCTTCATTAGCAGCACCATTAGAATTCAACACTTCATACAGGGGATTTAAAGATTAAAACAGACGGAGAAAATACAGGGTGGATTTACCACGGGCAGTTCTCATACTCATTTGTTCAACATGGTTATGATGAAATAGAGGTTCATGAGTGGAGTAGTGAGATGGTGTCCAGGGAAAGATGATCAAATCACCCATTACTTTACAAGCAAAGCAGTTACTGAGAAGGCCGGGTGTGATCAGCACAATCTGGGACAGCCTAAGACTTTCACATGTAGTTCCCTTCATCTGCTCCACACTTTGACAACAATCAGGGAGGACAGAGCAAACAATAAAGATTTGATAGATCTCACTCATTATACCATCAACTTGATTTACAATCCAAAGGCTTATAGAATTTATAGGGGTCAGTTTCTTATTGATTCATTAAAATGATATACAGCTCAGTGAACTGCTTCTTACAAAGACAAATCTTTACACCAAACAAAAGCTGTGTCCCTTCAGCAGCTGCATTGTTCAGAGGCTGAATTTGAAGACGGAAAAGATTTACAAGCACATTTTCAAATAATAATCTTGCAAAAAACCAAATTGTTCTGCTTCCAACAATTACCTGGACAAATTTACCAACAAATAACTGCCTGGCCCCAGTGGAGCAATTCAGGGAATAGTTTCACTGGGACAGAATGTGAGAGCCGCATAATAAGTTAAATTTTTATTATAAGACATAAATGGGATTTTCAGATGGCTGCCAATGTTGTTAATTTAGCAAACACAAACTTCTTTTTCAAGGGCATAGGGGAGCGTCGACGGACAGATCCTCAGAGAGCTGGCAAGTAATGGAACCTCATGAATACATTCATCCTGTATGAGAACCTAAAGGTTGTTAAAAAAAATCACAGAAGCAGATGAAAGGCAGGAGAGAAAGACACCTCAAAGATCCTGTCACCAGCTTGAAGATCATACCCTGCACTCATACATCCACCCCATCTCTGCTAATGGGCATAAGTGCGTCTAGTTTTAATAAGTATGGAGATACACACTCACACATACACTCACACATACACACACACACACACGCACACGCACACACACACACACACACACACACACACACACACACACACACACACACACTTGGCTCTCCTCAACTGGACACATTATTTCATTCAGTAGTGGTCTCTCCAGCTCAGTAATTGCTGAATTAGTTCATTTCAAAGTGCCTTTCTGATCCGCTCACAGGGGAAGAGAGTGTGTCTGTGTGTGTGTGTGTGTGTGTGTGTGTGTGTGTGTGTGTGTGTGTGCGTGCGTAGGCCAACATCTATCTTCATGAGGACACATTTGACGAATGGACCTCGTAGAATGAGGACACATTTTTGCCCGTCAAAGGGTTGAGACTTTGTCTTTAGCCTCAAACATACAGAATCCTTTTCATATCTCTTGTTGATTTTCAAATAGCAGCTGTATATGTTTCTTCCCCTAGCTCGTAAAACTAGTACCAGTCGTAAACCTCCGTGGAATGGGGGTTCTATTGGCCTGTGTTAAAGGGATAATTCACCGAAAATGAAAATTCACTCATTATGTGGATGGAGGGGTGGGTGAAGTCCACAAAACACTTTTGGAGTCTCAGGGGTAAACAGTGTTGCAGCCAAATCCAATACAATTGCAGTAAATGGAATCTCTTCTTCAGACAGAAATAAAAACATAACAAGTTGTGTTTTTTACGGTGTTGAATATAAATGTCGGGGCTTGTGGACACTTGGATGACACCACACGAGCAGTATGGAGGTATGTTATGTTTTTTTTTCCTGTTGGTTTATTACGTCTGAAGCAGGACTCACTTTGGCTATAACACTGTTTACCCATGATCTCCTTCAACTTCCTTGTCATTAGTGAGTCCTCCTCAAACTGGTCTAAAATATACTGACACTTGGTATTGTTTGGGTGCTGGACGTTTTGTGCAGAGCTTTTATAAACACTCTAGGGTGCAGAGTTAAGTTAGAAGACTTTTTGTTTGTCCAGTTTATCTGCATTTTTCACAAAATGAAACTGAATTTCGTTATTATTGTTCACTTGTGTGGTTTAATATACAAGTTTTAAAGATTTACTTAATGATTTACTTCAACATGTCTGCTATTCCAGATGTTATTCCAGAACTAATTGACACAATCGTCAAACATTAGTTTCCAACCTTTCAAAATAAAAGCTCTGTAATTCAGCTTTATATCAAGCATTGCAGCAACAAAATGCATATCGAGAAATTGCCAAACAGGAAGTGATTCTGCAACATTTAACATTTGAGCTACTGGCAACTAGAGGCATTTTCTTTGCGAGCAACGGAGATTAAACTTTTTATCATCTGTTGTTTGTGTAAAAGGTTCAGTTCAGAGCACACACCTGCCTGCATCCCTCCTGGGCGCCTTGGATGCTGTCTCCAGTAAACGATAAAAACCTAGACACACTTAAGTTCCACTGATGTAAGATGCAATAAAGATCTAATAAAGCAGGGATACAGAATTTCAGTAATGATAGACTTATTTCTACTTAAACCTTTTACCTTCTCTTATGGCTGTGAAGGGCGTTCCCTCCTCCTCTTGTAGACGAATCACCTTCAGAGCCACCAGTTTGCCGTTCACCCTGTCAGCGACACACAGACGGAAAAAAATGAGTTGGGCAATCTGGTGGTTTTGACATAATATGAAAATCTATTGAAGAATCTGCGAGGCTGTGGCCAAGTGAGAAACTGTTAAGTTGATGAAAGGTAATTTAGCAGCGGTGGAGTGAGACGAGGGTACAAGACCACAGGGTTACACCTGAATGAAGCTCACCAATCAAAGCGGCTGCAGCAGAATAAACATTGTTAGAGAGAAGATTAGAGTGTGTGGAGCTTCATACATATAGTGTGTGGACTGTCATTAGCACAGCCTGGGAGAGCAGCACCAAACCATAATAAAGTGGAACATAACCATAACCATCTATAGTGATTCATAAAAAAGGAATTGCAAACATGCCGTATACAGAAAATTTGCATAAAACTATTAAGTGTAACTGTTATTCCTTTTTTCATTTAATTAATGTTTTCAGTTATAGCAGTGCTCCCATATAATTAAATGCAATATCCACCGTCTGCATGAGTGACTCTTATGAACTATGAAGAAAAGAGACTGGATTCAACTGTGATTTGACATGCACACACTACTTACTTGCTCTTCCCCTTGTACACTGTGGCATATGATCCCTCTCCCAGCTTCTCCAGCTTTTCATAGGAATCTGCCTTCCCAAACTTGGGGCTTGTGGGCTGAGAGAAGAGAAAAAAAGATATGAAAATGTAATATGATAGGATCAACTCAGTAACCTAAAAAAAGACAAGTCCCTGAGGATTTCCTGGAAGACATTACATGCCTATGAGTGATATTAAAATCTGGAGGCTTCCCACTGCATCATACGGGAGGTGTAATGCCAGAGAAGAGGAGGAGAGAAAATTTCACAGTCTCCATGTGAGAAATATGAAGAGGACTTATCATTTATTAGTCATCTCGTAACTTTTAGCACTTTTCCCGATATTTCACTGAGGAAAGAAGCAATAACTGCAGTCTTGAGGAAATAAAATCCATGAATATATTCTTCTCAACTGGTAAGAATGTTGATTATTGTATCTGAATTGGTGAAACACAGCTGAAGAGTTATTTTTACACCTTAGAGTTCATATACTTTATTCAAATGTTATACTGTAGGTCACTCAGAACTTCACACGTAGCTGGGAAGCTCAAACTGGAGATTTTCTAAAATGTTGACCTGTAGCCCCAGAGGCTAATTCATAGCCGACACTTAAGCCGAGCTAATCTTCTGCTACTACTGCTGCTCTGATAAAAAACAAGATGCCTGCTCCCTAAATGTCTTTACATTGGTGTTTGCCATGATTGAAGAGTAGAAGATGTGTTAGCATCGTACCTTAGTGAATATTAAAATTGCATTTAGTAGAGCACATACCTCCCCCCAGGCCCAACGGTCCCCTTACATTTCAATCCACATTTATTTGGCTCTGCACCAAATCCCATACACTCAGATATCAGTGCCTCAATAAATTAATTAATTTTTTTCAGTATGATCCATGAATTATTCCCTCGTAAATCTTACAATGTGGAGAGAAAGTGATTCCTGGATCTGCCCCTTTGTCCGAATCCATGCCAAAATTTAATGGGATCTTTCCTTGACCACTACCTCATCCTTCCACCAAGTCTCAATAAAAATGTTGCTTGCTTAATGTTGCTAACACACAGACATACAGCGATGAAAACATGAGCTCCTCGGTGGAGGCAACAAGTAACCTGGGAACAGCATGAAAAAAAGGAACAAGATATCAGAGCCAGGTCTAAATGAGGATGTTGTTTTAAAAAGCCACGGGGTTCTCTAATGGACGTCTAATGGATAAAGTGAGAAAAGCTGGGTTGAAAAGCACTTTCTACTCGGAAGCTTCCAACTTGGCCCACTGACAGTAAGTGTCCGTGCTGATTAAAACCTGATATCTCCTATAATCGGCTGAGGAGTCCACTATCCCTCATCTCAACACAAGTGCTCATCTGTGAAACGTCTCTGAGAGAGTTGGTAGCACTGCCTGAACGAAAAGGCTGCGACAAGGACAATTTACACATTTTCATAATCCTGGCTGAAGCTATTCATTAGTGTCCTGCAGTGATGCTGGCAGGCATTCAGTCAAGCCTCATATCACACTTATTAAATCTTATTTGTGTGCACATTCATTAGGCATTTCCCGTTTGGTGCTAAATCAAAAGGAAACCAAATATGTATAAAAACCTGAAAATCTCATGTGCATGATTTAGAAAACCGTATTGTTTGCAAACAGACTTTAATTAACCATGTGAAAGACCCCAGGCTGGTTTCAGATGAAGAAAAGGTGCCAAACAACACCTGGGACCAAAAGAAAGCGATTGGCACCACCTTGAAAATCCACCTCAAAGCCAAACTAGTGCTGAGATGTGCTTTTTAATTCATCTGTTTTTTAGTGATAATTTGAGCCACAGTGCACTGCAGAGCCCCATGTTAAAATTCTGTTAATTCATTCTTTCTTCATCAATCTTCACTCAATTCGATGACAAAAACGAAACAGAACATTGGAAATGTTTGCAAATTTTATTAGAGAAGACAAATTAAAGAACCTTCTGCTTTATGAAAGTTAAATGTTTTCTTGGGTGAACACATCTTTCAAACATAGTTGAAGTCTAGTCCAGGTGTTGAGAGACAAAACCTTCATAGCTTACAATGCATATCACAGCAAAACCCAAGACATGAGGTCAAACGAGGAGCCTGCAGAGACAGAGTGGTATCCAGGCTCAGATCTGATGAACAATTACAGTTATCATCATTAGCGTACGTGACTGAGATGAAGTAGAATAGGCAGGAAACAAACATCCCTCTGCTGAGGTATGGCATTTTTGCTTAAAATTGTCAACCATTAGCTCTAGGCTGAAGCAGCCAAACTTATGTGTGTATTGAATTGCCTAAGAAATCATTCATGAATCATTTATAAGACAAAACATTTCTTATTTTGTCTTTCAAAAGCTAGTTTGGTCCACTGTCAATTTAATATACTGAACCAAACCCAAACTGCCCCTGACCGCTATGTGTGATAGAGAGAGAGGCGCTGTGTGAAAGAGAGTGCAAATGGGTGAATTGCAAAACTGCACTGCAAAGTTCTTTGAGTGGTCATCAACACTAGAAAAGTTGTAAATGCATTTACCATGATAATTAATCACTTGTTTTCTTGGGCTTTTGAACAAGCGTTTGCTACTTGCTACTGATTCAGGCATCATCAGGTACAGGAATATGCATGTGATTGGCATGTTTATTATTTTAACAAGCATAAAGAAAGAAAGAGGCTGAAATTGTTGACTTTCAACAGTCACACAAACACTGTTGTTTATATGATTACTTACAGAACTGGGGCTGGAGTGTCGGCGCAGTTTGGGGGACTCCTTGCCGGCAGAGGAACTCTTGGCGTTGATGCAGGCATTGTTCTCGGAGTGGACCCTCTTCACCTGACTGGCAGGCTTCTCGAACGGGTCGAAGCCGCTCTGCGTGCGCTGAACTCTCACCTTCTTGTCCTCAGGGATGGTGTCCAGGGGCTTGATGACCGAGTCTGTTCCCTGGCAGCTGCGTGTGGACATCTTTGTGACACATATCTGTCAAAAAGCAAGACGACAGGGAGAGAAGGAAGGAGAGAGAAGATAAAAATGAGCATTAAAGAAAAAAAAAATCCATCTGCGATTACCAGCGTTCAGCCAAAAACTGAATGTGCCCCTGTCTTCTAGATGCCGTCTGTGTTTCATCTCTCTGTCAGCCTTGGTCTCTTCCCTCCCTGCAGTGCATTGCTGCTACCTCTCTGCTAAGATGAGAGTCTTTTTATCTCCATCTCTCTTTTCTCTGATCAAAACAGCTCCAGTCTCTCTCGGCTCTGATGCACACACACGACTGACTGCTGCGAGTGCTGCTTCCATACTGTGCATTCACAAAATTCCACCTTATCTCTGACACAAATCTACCCATCCATAGGATTGTCTCCTACAAGCCCACTGGGCACACACACACAATCACACAGCCCTCCACACTCCACATCTATTCTCCAGCACAAAGCACCTTGCCAGCCGCTCCTCCGCCATGGACTGTGTGCATTGAACACAAAAGACGCAGGCGGCATGACATGTTTTGCCACGGCTCCGTTCAGATTAAATATTTAGGCCTAAACTCCCCTGCAGGAAGAACTTCTAATTACCCTAATACACAAGGAGGAGTCATCTTGCAGTGGGCTTGCATGGTATTTAACTTGGGCCAGGTTTCACAATGGAGCAGTTCCCACGACACAGACTTCCTTCTGTGTGACAATGTTAAGTTTTTATAACAGTTATTGATAGTGATGTCAAACTGATATACTGGGAATAAAAGTCTTTACTTATTGTATGGAGAGTGGCCAGTTGTGGTATTAACTGTATGTACATTTTAGAAAATTAACAAATTGTTTTTAAACCCTGTGTGTTTCTCAACTGTTACTTGAAAGAAAGTCAGCAGCAAGGGTGGATGATAACAAAGTATACTTGCTAGTATAGCCTACTGTAAATAAGTCAAATTATTTCCTTTACGTGTGCTTCGATTTTTATCTTAATTTCCTCTTCTACAATTCAGTAATGGAAAAAAAAACATTTATTTGTATTTATTTTCACTGAAGTGGACATGATGGGTTCTTTTGCTTACATTTACATAAAAATAATATTATAAGCTCTTACTCTTACTATGACACACTGTTACAGATTAAACAGCACAAAAGCGTGTACATAGTTATAATTTGTCTCCACTTTGACAACATTAATTTGTTGCTCACACATTATTGCATCCCTAACAATAACAATTAAAATGTATTAATATTTATTCTGATAAGTAAGTTTAGATCATAATATTATAATTAATATTCATATTAATATAATATTATAACTTAACTCAATTGAGATTTCAAATAACGGATGTTGTAATATCCTTGTTGTAATATGTATCCTCGGAAACTGTCGTCCAGCACATGATAGTCACATTTCAGCTGTAAATGATTTAACCTGGATAGAGTGCCAGAACATCCTGCTCTGAGTGTCCGGTTTCCTAGAAAGTTCACTGCTTGTGGTATGGCTAAGGCTTTCTCTTTATTTTATTCTATTAAGCTATTCATTGTAAATTATAGTAACACCTTTACGAAGTAGAAAATAATTATATAGGTTTGTTTTGGTCCTCTGTTCTGTGGCACTTTCTCATTAACAGCCTCCGTGCTGTCTTTGGAAGATGATACCTCCTGTCAGCTTCATTGTTGCTATTCATTATTGTTATAAAACACACCTGAGCTTGGTTACCATTGCCTGTTGACACGAGGGATAACGTGTATGTGTGAATGCTGCGTTAATGACCAGGCTTCTTTGTTTCTTAAAGAGCTCATATTATCCAAACCGAGCACTTCACTCTCAAGATACAGGCTTATTTCTGTTTGGAGAGTCTCAAAGAGCTGCATCCTTCCGATGCGGCATTTGAAGACTAATTGTGTCACAGTGGTGCGACTAGACTGTTCCAATTCGAAGGCTCCTCCAAATGGGAACGACAATCTTTCCTCCCACCCCCGAGCAATGGAGACTCCACCAGGTGGACCCATCCCAGCCCAACATATCCCATGATTAATTGTGCCTCAGTGACAAACTGTTTTTAAAAAAAATTGGCAAAAAAGTGAGAAGAATCTATAAGTACTCAACCGAACAGCTAACACCTTCTTACAACGTTTTTAATCAACACAAAAAAACTTATCTCTGCTGCTAGATGATGGCTGTAAGAGCAGAACATGCTGGTGATGCAATGAGACCGTCTCATTATGGTTCGGCCAATGCTGTCTGTAGACCGGGTCCTCTGAAGGATGTGGCCCCTGAATTGAGACACAGCTTTTGTGAAGAGCCTTAACAGTCAGTCCAGTGCATGGATTATGGGAAGGCCAACTGATTTGTGGAAGGAAGCAGGTGCTCTGCTACATCTGGTTTCCTGTTGCCAGGATGGGAACGCCCGCCAAGAGAGCCGAGACGCAATTACACCGTATCGATTCTGGTTGAAGAACAGCCTCTTTAATCACTACCTCTCCCACCACCGCTCCTACCAATGCACACATGTACACATATAAACAAACTGTGATACACAGCATTGTTTCCCTATCTATAATTTATTCTGCGCTGGAGCAGTGACCTGTTTGCCCCAAAGGGATCAGTAAGGATTAATCTTATCTCAGGGTTGTCATACAATAATGGAAGAGGAGGGTAGTAACACAGTGGGCAGGCCCAGGCTAATGCAACTACGTCCAGAGAAGTAGTTACTGATGACATTAGCTTGAACGATGACAAGAACCACAGAGGCCATAAAAGACCAATCAACCATGGAGCCTACTTATGTGCTCTGCTAACTCAAGGCTCTCAGCCATGTTAACTTGGCCACATTCAGGGCTCGCCCCCTGTGTGAACGCCTTTCCATTTTACAGAGACAGAGCGGGGCTATCAGCTTGCCTGGGCTCATCATCGTGGGCTCAAAACGATTCTCAGAAGATACACTAGAGAAGAGATGAAAAAAAAAAACGGCTTCCTCTTCCTCACCTTCCTCTCCGTCAAACCACACTGTCTGGACTGCACAAGCCTTTGTTTCAGTGTTCTTCAATACACAGATAAAGCTGTGTGTATGTCTTGCTAAAAATAGCTGGTGCTGGCTCAAACACTGCAGCTTTTTGTGCAATGCTTTGGTCAGGCCTTCTGACAGAGATGTGAACCACAGATGGGTGAACATAGTGATGGCCTGATACAACAATGACTGCCTTTAACAGAGGAGCTGATCCGAGGGTTAGGCTGACATGTTAGAATAGCGACGTATGTGCAAGGTGCAGTTCAGATGATTGACACACTGCTAACCACATTCCCCAGCAAGGAGAAAATAAGGATAAGGCATGTTAAGTAAAATTTAAAATGCATTTTTGAACTATGCATGTTTTCATTTTCTGACTTATTATTATTTGTGTGTTGACTCTTGACCTTTCAGTGATTATCTACAATGATGATTTGTATTGAGATATTCTCATATACCCACTAAGTTTAGTGAAGATTCTTCCACTTGTTGAATAACTTTGTCCACACACAGACGGGGTGAAAGCAAAACCCTGCTTTGCAGCACAAAGGTTAAGAAACTGTCTTTCCACCAACCAATTGCATGACAGTGAAGATTGCATTTTGGACTGGATGGGCTGGGGATCAAAGGTTGCAGGTTTGAAATGAGGTGGAGGACGTTAAGATGCATATCCTTCTCTCAAAATCCACAGCTATGTCCTGCTGAAAAAGCACCAAACTTTCCAACTCTGTGCATAAAAGTGACAATAAAGAATTCTTCTTCCTAAAAAAATGTATAATCAGCATTTCACCTAATTTTCTTGCAAATACAGAAGAGCTATATAAACAGTTTTATACACTGGACAGTTATAAATACTAGACACAGTTCTGTATACCTGGTCAACATAACTCATTGACTATTTCCCATACCTTGGGATATGGGTTTGGGAAGCAACTTATCATGACTGGTTGTGATGACAACTTTTGTCCCCACCGAAACATAATTTATTAATTTATGAGTTTTCATTCATTTTGTTATGAAAACTCATCGTTTCTTTTTTGGCACACCTTCACAAAAACGTTCCCATTTCTTGAATTATGTTGGACTCCAGTCAAAGCCAAAGTGACTTCTCTCTGCAAGTCACTTTCATAAGGTGTACCAGAAAAACAAAGAATCTAACTGCACTGTGCTATTTCTCTGCTCTGTCTCCATCATATTGAACATCGGCCTTAGGGTATTGTGGATGAGACTCTTAATTACATGGTGAAATAAAATATTCCAACAGCTAATATCCCAACATCCCCAAGATAAGAGGCTTTTCATTACATCAGTATGTGCAGTACCTCACCACTGCAGAAAAACGACTATATATATATATATATATAGTCAGCTCTATACAATATTTTCAACTATCATTGGATTAGCATAGAAATTGTATACTGAACAATTTATGGTTCTGTCTCGAACACAGCTCTCAAGAATGAACTGCATCACACTGTCTGTACTTGTGATTTCTTGAAATTGAGACATTGTTAATATCTAATTCTGAAGCTGGTTGTGTCATTGATATGTTTTTGATATGTATGTGGAGACTGGCACACTTTACTAAGACAGAGAACTGGAGTGGTGTCTCGGGAGCTTGTGTTCTCTGTCGGGGAGAGGAGATGACTTTACTGCTGACTTTGGGCTTTTCAACTCTGCAGACCTCTTACATGCACAAAAAAAACCTATAAAACACACTAGCGGAAAGAAACACTGAAAAAGCACAGTGGTTGCTGCCTGATTCAAACACACACACACACATTCATTGAGTCCCAGCCGTAACCTTAACCTAACCACCATTCGCATCCTTCACCAGGATGTTTTCCCTCTTTCGGACTGGGCTTTAGTCCACTTGAGGTCTTGTGGTCCTGACATGGTAAGTGTTTATGGTAGAACGAGGTCCTCAGAGCAACAAAGGCAAGTAAACACAGACACACACACACACTTTAATATACTGATCTTACAGCATATGAGATAAAGG